GAGCCCCGATCTCCCTGCCGGATCTCCCTGCCGCGGCTGGGCGGGGAGCACAGCGTTATCGCTCCTACCGCAGGCTGGGCTGTTCTTCTCCCGGATCACAGCTCCAGGTAATCCGTGCGGCTCTCCCCTGGGAAACACCAATGGCGTGGCGCTGTTGGAAGCCGGCCTTGCCCTTCCCCTGCCCAACAGCCGGGTGACGCAGGGACCGTCACTCTCTTTTCTGAGAACGGGAGAATCGCTGACTGCCTTTCCCTGTTCAGAGAGGCCGGGAGGAGCAGAATGGTGCGTTTGAAAGTCTCCCCGCAGGCAACTTCTTGGGGCCTGTGCAGCCAAGCAAGTTCCGAAGTTTTTGGAAAAGAGCACACACACAGGTCTGGCTGTTCACAGACAGTGTAAGATGTGTCACTTGACACTGCTTAGGGCGGAGGAGTCAGACAAGATCCCTTCTAATCATAGAATCACAGAACGGTTGGGGTTGGAAGGGACCTTAAAGCCCACCCAGTGCCACCCCCTGCCATGGGCAGGGACACCTTCCACTAGACCAGGTTGCTCCAAGCCTCATCCAGCCTGGCCTTGGACACTTCCAGGGATGGGGCATCCACAGCTTCTCTGGGCAACCTGTCCCAGTGCCTCCCCACCCTCTGTGGGAAGAACTTCTTCCTGATATCCAACCTAACCCTCCCCACTTGCAATTTAACCCCGTTACCCCTTGTCCTGCCATGGAAGACCCAAAGGGTGATGTCCTCGCACGAACTGAGTGTCTTTGTGTGCTTAACGTTCTTCCGGCTGTCGCGTGTCAGCAGGGGCGAAGAGGCCTGAGTAAGGCGATGGAAGTGTGCCAGGATTAAGAGCTTGGACAGTCAGTCTCCAGTGAGACACAAAACGGCTTCCGTATGTGTAAGAATAACTAAATAGACCTGAAGGAGGAAGTAGGAGGAGGGAAGATGCAGAAGAGCAGCCTCTGAAGTTGCAAACAGTACAGGGAAGATAGGAGGAGAAATGCATAATATTCATTAGTCAGAAAGCAAATTAAGAGCAAATGGAAGCGCTTTTCCACAGATGATGAAACTTGTTGCCGCAGGATGTTATGGAGACCAGGTCCGACTGGGTTCAAAAAGGATTTATTCAAATGTATGGAGAAGAGGTATTGCTCGGAGTCTGCCTCTGGCCCTCAGGAAATCCTACACCAGCCGATTGGTTTCTGGAGGTTGCAGAATAAAAGAGCATTCCACAGAAGGGCTTTTTTCTTGCCCTCCTTCCTAAACAGCTAAACGAGTGATTTCCGAGTCATTTCATATTCCAAAAACCTTTTTTTTTTTGCCTTCAAAGGCAGGAAAAGAGGAGACCTAAGGCCGGTGGCAAAGCGCAGTATTACGTAATGCCACTCAGCGTCAGGCTAACGGCAGCGCTGTAGCACCTCCTTACGCTCAGCAGCACTGGCAGGGCAGAGCGTGGCCAGCACACGCTTAGGGTGGCGCGAGAGCCTGAGGCGAAACGACTTCGGCACGGGAACAGCACCTGCAAGCTGACGGCTGCTGCGCTGGATCGGCACCGCCAGCAGACCGCTGCCTTACGGCCTCTAGATACACACACCACTTCCAGCCGAGCGGGAGTCACCCTGACACTCGTGCTGACCTGCCGGACTACAGGCGTCCTTTTTGCTCGTTCTGAAGCCAGTAGGAATTAACTTGCCCTTGGAGGAGGCTCTCGGTTAGTTCAAGCATTTAGTTCTCGTTTAAGGTAAGAAATCACCAGTTCTATAATCCGATGTTACAGAATGGGGCAGATAGTAAGGGTCGTGACGTTGGCAAGCACAGTGCTTATTCCCTGCTACACTGGACCCAAAATAATTCCTGGTTTACTTGCAGTCTGTCACTTACTTTTGAAGATGGGCAAGGTTTGCGCCGTTTTTGGAGGATCCCGCGGCATAGGAAAGGCCGTCGCAGAACTGCTGGCACAGAGAGGCTGCCGCCTGGCGATTATTGCTAGAGACCTGGAAGTAGCCCAAAGCACTGCACGTCATCTTGGTGGTATGTACGCCGCTCTGCAATCCTCCCTTTGCTCTCCAGGGCTGAGGTAACCTGTAGGAAGTCAACAAATGCACCCCCTCGTGAACTAGATGAGAGTAACGGCCGGGAAATTTGAGAGAAGAGCCGTATCAGTAGAGTTTTCCTCTCTAGGCGATCTTGTCCTTGCAGACAAGGATGTTACCCATCCTGTCTGCAAGGCGCGAGTTGTAAGGTGAGGGGAGTTGTTCCGGGTCGCGGGAGGCGATCCAAGTTGAGAGATCCCTGGCTGCTGGCCAAGCCAGTGCTGAGACCGGTCTGCTCACGCCGATTCCAAAAGGCCAAAGTACAGAACAAGAAGTTGTCACCTAACTGATCAGTGCAGTACGTAAAACTGTCCTTAATTAACTCTCTGGAGATCAAAGGGGTTCCTCCAGTTACACCCAGGTCACCGTCTCCGTTAGCCGCTGATCTGATAACCTCTGAGGAAGAGTGACGAATGTCACACCGTCCATCCCGTTACCCTGGTGTGCCTTTGCTTCGTTACAGCCGGACACCTGGCACTTAGCTGTGATGTCTCCAGCGAGCAGCAAGTCCAGAACACCTTTGAGGAGGTGCAGAAGCATTTGGGTTCGATTAACTACTTGGTTAATGCAGCTGGGATCAACAGGTCAGTCACTTGTTGCAAGACCGTATGTAACTCCAGCTGGCAGCACCCTCCTGTGAGGTGCTAAGGGCCTTGGCGTTCAGGAAGGGCGCTGTTAAATACTTTGTTCCCAACGAAAATCCTAACAGGTGACGCAGCTTTCACTGTAGTTTCTGCTTTCTGAGCTGGAGTTCCCTCTCTGCTCCTCTTTCTCCCACTTCTTCCCCCCGAAATGATCCAAACCAATGCCTCTCTGCCACGGAGGCGCTGCTGCCGGCAGCGTAGCCGGCTGTTTTCCTGGCCGCTGTCATCCTTGCAGTGTCACTGGCTTGAACGACAGGATGTGCAGAACCGTATAAATAACACCCCACTCATCGATCGGGTCTTACTATGAGTAAGTGGGAGAACCGGGGTGGTGTGGTGAGTTCTTTCGGGTTTTTTGGTCTGTTTGTCAGGGATGGCTTGTTGCTGAGAACCAGAACCGAAGACATGATAGCCCAGATTCACACCAACCTGCTGGGAACGATGCTGACGTGCAAAGCTGCCGTAAGAAGCATGATAGCAGGGCAGGGGGGTGCCATCGTCAATATCGGTAAGGCAGTCGCCGGGGGAACGCAGCGGGGTAATCTGTGATGGGTTCCTGGAAAGGTGTAGCAGGAGCAGCGCGTCGAAATGTTACTTGTTCAAGTTGGCCGTTTGCTTTGTACTCACACATCCTGCATTTAGCATTTCCTTATGCATGCTTATTCTTCTGTGTCATTTCAGCAACTTCTAAATGTAAAGCCAGCTTCTTCCAGTAATATCAACCCCGAGATGTTTATCTTATTGAAAAAAACACCTTTACCATTCCTTATCAGCTCTTTCGGTAGCTAAATCTACCAGCTGCTAGTTGTTAAGAACCAAATAGGTACAGTTGGTTCCTTCTTTTTCCCTTGGCAAGGAAAAGCTTGGGAAAGCTCTTCATTTTACTCTCCTGGTGCCCTGCTGATCAACACAGACACGGATTCCACAAGAATCACACGATAATTGAGGGATGCATTTCTCCCCGCAGTAGGCCGTAAAGTTCATTTACTGCTACACTTCTAATTCATTTTCCTGTAACCTGAGTTTCCATTCCAAATTTAAAACTAAAATGATAAAAACTAACACAGGGTTTCAAATCAGTCATTGAAAGATTTTTCTTCTCTCTGTTGTTTCTTTATTTTAGGAAGTATTGTAGGACTTAAAGGCAACTCTGGCCAAAGCGTGTACAGTGCTACAAAAGCAGGATTAGTTGGATTTTCCCGCTCCCTTGCTAAAGAAGTAGCAAAAAAGCACATTCGAGTCAATGTGGTTGCTCCAGGTTAGTTTTTTGGGAAGTTCCTACCTCCTTGACTGTTGCAATACATGGTCATCAAGACTGCTGGAAATGGCTATTATTTCCTTCAACTTCTGCAATTAAATGTTTTTAATATCTTTTTTTCAGTTTAAAGTATAATACATTCTTTTACAAAACCTTCAATCTTTTAAGGAAACACTGAGAAATTTGGAAGAGCGCGTATACCTGTTCACCTATCCATTACTACATAAAAATGTCTTTTTCCTTTGTTCATCCTTCCAAACCTGCTCTCCTTGCAGATGGGAGATGAGAACTGATTACATGCAGACAGCTACCCTTGTCTCCTCCTACAGCATGCTTATTTGTTAACAGAGAAACATGAAAGACCACGAGAAAGTGGTGTGAAAGCATCCCTGTCCATGTATGTAGAGTCACAGAATGGTTTGGGTTGGAAGGGACCTTAAAGCCCATCTAGTTCCACCCCCCCTGCCATGGGCAGGGACCCCTTCCACTAGACCAGGTTGCTCCAAGCCTCATCCAGCCTGGCCTTGGACACTTCCAGGGATGGGGCATCCACAGCTTCTCTGGGCAACCTGTCCCAGTGCCTCCCCACCCTCTCCGGGAAGAATTTCTTCCTGATATCCAATCTAACCCTCCCCACTTTCAATTTAACCCCGTTACCCCTTGTCCTGTCACTACAGGCCCTTGTAACAAGTCCCCCCCAGCTTCCTTGTAGCCCCTTCAGGCACTGGAAGGTCCCGGGAAGCAAGTTCTGTGTGGACAAGGCTGTGAATTCACAAGACAGCCTAGTCCAAGCAAGCCACCACCCTTAAGGAAAACTCCTCCTTCTGAGTTTTTCCACCTTGGCCGTGCGCTCACTCGGCTGCTCACCTTGTGCTGGCTCTAACGCCTTTCAGACCTCCCCATGAACCAGCTCAGCTTGTGAGCCGGGCAGGAAAAATACGCTCTGTTGTTTGCCGAGTTGAGCAGCTCTCTGGAAGCACCCGGAGCCATCATAGCACAGCTGTACAGTGACAAGCAGAATTGAGACTCACCTTTCTTGGTGGCAGCCAGAAAGTGGCCAAGATCAGCTCTTTAGGAAGCTGCAGCTGATGTGAAGTGCAGCAGTGGGAAAACTGAACCTCAGCTCACTGGAAGTTATAAAGTTCTTCAAAATTGTCAAAAAATATTCTTCAAATGAGTGCTGTAATAGAAACTATTAATGTCCTAAGTTCTAAAATGTAATGGGGACGCTTGCAAACACCCGAAAGCTGTAGGGGTTTCTTGCCAGAGATGGAGGATGGTGGCTGATGCGGAATCCTGGCAGCAGATCTTGCTTTGGGGGGTTCCGGTGCGAATCGGCTTGAGGAATTTATCTGAAGGTGAGGTGACTCTTGGGGTGTCTCTCCTCTCTTAGGCTATATTCACACGGACATGACTGCTCATTTGGAAGAGGACGAGTTGAAGAAAGCCATTCTCCTGGGAAGATTCGGAGAGCCTCGTGAAGTTGCACAGGCTGTTGTCTTTCTTCTGGAGTCCCCTTACGTTACAGGCAGTACTCTGGTTGTAGATGGAGGCTTGCAGCTTCTGAGCTAAATGCGGCCTCGAACACCCAGGTAACCGCCCCGGTGGGAATATACAATGCAGGGGGGTGGAGATGGCTTGAAGAATGACGCGTGTGACTGACTCCGCGTTCTCTAGCCAGAGGGGAAATTCAGCAGCGGCGGGTTCTGGCGTGCGTCTTCAGCTACCCGAAAAAGTCCGTCGGGAGTGGGGAAGTCTGCGGGCGCAACAATTTGAAGGAGACCTGGCTTTGGGACAGGGAGAGTTTGTGTGCCAACAAACACGCCGAGATGTTTTATAAAGCAGTACTTTCCAGTTTGGGACAGAGTGGAGGTTTTATCCGACTCCTCGCGTTACACCAAGGTGGGCGAAGCGCGGAGGCACGTTTATTCGTTGGCAGGTGTGACTGCATTGGGGTTCTCCCGCGGGGTGAAGACTGCGCGCTGGTGGGTTTTAGTCTTACTGGTCAGTCCCTGCAGAGGGGCGAGGATTTCCCTTTTGCTCTCGTTTGTTGTGGGGAGCACTACAAAGCTGAGAGCTCCCAGATCTTCAGCACAGGCGCTGTGTGGTGCAGTGTGTTTTCAGAGAAACAGAACCTGCCCAGTTCCGTTCCCGAGCGTGCAGGCAGCGCTCATCTCACCCGGCAGCGCTTGGCTGTACTGCGGGGCTCTCGATTCCTCACTGGAGCGGCTAATTCTGCGACTTTCTGAGGCTGAGCTGCGCGTACGCCGGTGAAGAGCACAGCTGCAGGCCTTGCTGTGTAGAGGACTTCTCACTGAGCTAGGGGCTGCTTAGATGTCTCATCTCCGACGTACGAAGTCAAGGCGCATTGCTCGTCTTGAACACTCGGTTCAGCTGTGTTACGCTGAGGCTCTTTAAAGTGTATGTAAAATAGCCGTTTATTTTCTTCAAAGCAACTTTTGAAGCAGAGGGGTGATTCAGCTCTGAATGACAGCATTCCTTTCTTGCTGAAAAACTACCAAAAATTGTACCTCAGGCCTCTATTGAGATCAAGTAATTGTAGATAATCGATGTTTTTTTATGATCTCTGAGGAAAACTATGGGTGTAGTTTAGGACCTTCACCACTTGGCGCTGGGGTTCGTTGCATCAGCTTCACAGAGTGGTAGGGGTTGGGAGGGACAGCTGGAGATGATGGACATGAGCCAGCCGTGTGCGCTGGCAGCCCAGAAAGCCAACCGTATCCTGGGCTGGATCAGGAGAAGTGGGCCACGCA